TTTTGAGGCGAAATACCCAAAAAGAAGTTTGTAAAAAAATAAAGGATGTTGGAAGGAAAAGGAAGCATTAGCCAAGCAACCCATTTCATCCATAGCGTGGGCACGTTATGCAGGAGAAAATTCGTATTTTTTGCAAAACAACATCCAGCACTGGCCACATGTATTGCGACTGTAAATGCATGCAACATGTGGTTCTTTTCCTTTGTTTTTGTTAGTTAAAGTAGATTACCGCATATATGTATTGTTATTGGACCAGAACCGTTTGCAGGGACGGACTGGCTCGCTATAATGGAAGCAGCGACATTCTGAAAGCACCGTTGAGGCACAGGTTGGAAAGCACTGAAGGACCACGACTTTGTTCGGTAAATCGTCCGGTTAATCTGTTTGTTGTTCATGTAGGAAAGTAAATCATGCAGGTCTGCCATTGCAAATTGGGACACTTTTTCACCGACATTGTAAATTAAATTGTTAAACGGGGTTTTTTCCACAAATTAATATCCCCGATGCACAAGAAGTTGATGAAATTTCGCGTTTTTTGTAAGCGGCATGAGTCGCATCATTTCGCAATTGGGAGCAAAATGTAAATTTCTTTATAGTTGGCTGACTTTTGGTCCAACAGATGGAAAAGGTGGAACTTTGGAAAGCTGAACCTTTGACTTTCCTTGCATCTGGCTAAATGCGTTAATTTCCTTATTGCCGCGAGTCCGCCAGTAGGTATGGTGAAAAGCGCAATGAATTACGTCGACCGTAAAATCGCGAAGCGGCTGACCGTTTCATAATATTAAAATGTACAATTTTAGCGTAATTAGACACAAATGCATCAATTTAAATAATTAGCTTTACACTTGACCAAATAAATATTACGGCGAAAAAGTTTCACAACCATGCATTATGCATTAAACATGTAGAAACATTGGGATTTCATTAATTAATACACTCTGGGGGCTGGTTTGACTCAGAGTCCACAGTCTTCACTTCGGGCATAAAAAACAACCTGAATTTCCTGCCTCGACTTTGCGCATTGTGCAAGCGTTGATTTTTTTTGACCATTGAACTCACACTAATTCCATGTGATTATCCGATTTGTAAATATGATACTGCCGCTTTTTTTCCGACCGTTACACAATCTTTAATAATGCTAAATAGAAACTTACAATGGTGATTTATCCAATTAAGAAACCGCTTTGTTACGACATCGCAAAGAACTTTCAAACTTTTCAGTCTGGGATATTTTCAAGTGACCACTTTGAGTTTTTTTTCGGTGAAAAAGTAGAAAACGGAATAATTTTCATCTTGAATGAAAGCCCGAAAAACCAACTGCCTTCAGTAAGAAACTAATTAAAATGAACGAATCTAGTAAAAATGCGATCAGCAGCTTCGGGACTTTAGAAGACTTTCTCTCAAAAAGTACTTTTCAACAATCTCGGGCAACAAAACCGTGGCGAAATTAATGATCCAGATACTCGGACATTTTTACTGCCGCTTACACGACCGTTATAGCATAGAATTTCTCTTCTACCCGAAAAGACATTCATCAGCATCGATATCTGCCTACTCGAGTTACACTTGCGAAACTGCAACATTAGATTTTGCTGGCGGTTAATGAAACTGTAGTGCCGCATTACATAAATACATTACCCGAACTCATACGGGTGGGTCATAATCAAAGCCACGCGAGCCATAAAGTCGCGATTTCACCGAAATGAGGAACAAAACGAAGATTTGTCCTGCTGCAAGTGATAACCGAAGGAAAAAATCAGCTTGCGACTAGTGCAGAACGAATGGCTACGGAATGGGAGAAATAAAATTTCTTTTTTGCGTTTAAGGCGTTGAAAACGGTTGAAATGACGAACAATCGACAGTGGTTACAAGTAAGGCACAAGAAAGCATTAAATTTAATTGCGAAATCGTTTGACAAAGTTTACACGATCTGTAACTAACCAGGCTGAATTTGGATAAGATATTAACCACATTGTGGCATTAATTGCGTTGTCTTCCAATCGCTATCGATTGGGTCAGCGGGAAAGTTGCCTCAGAAAAGATCGCTCCAGAGCCACTCTGCTCATAAGGCCATCATTCAACAATTGAACCCTAGGCTGGAACAACGTTGTAACCGCCATTAAGTGTAAATTTAATTCAAAAGAAGTTCCTGGGTTCCAGCCAATTTTATTGTTTACCATTTAAAATATTACAAAAACGTTTCGCTGTTTTTCTCCACCATCATCAGTTTGTATGTATGGTTGTTTCTACCTTCACATTTGGCAAGCCATTGGAAAATCTATCTAACCGTTGTCAAAAACACCTCAAAAGTAAAACTCAAAATAAGAAAAGACCCTGGATGACAGACGAAATATTGGATTTAATGGAGGAACGGAGGATACTAAAACACAGCAAACAAGCTTATAAAGTCAAACAGCTATTAATAAGACAGAGAATCCGGGTAGCAAAAGCATCTTATCTGGCCAGCCAGTGCAAAGAGATAGAAGACCTAGAAGCGACTATGACTCCTTTAATATGTATAGCAAGATCAAGGAAGCAACTGTCAACTCACGATCAAACAGAGTATCAGTAGTACTGTACGATAAAAGCGGTAAAATAGTACAAGGATTGCAACAAAAAGTAATTGAATGGACAAATTATATAACGAAACTATTAGAAGACGACAGAATAGCAACACAGCCGGCTTTAGAGGATACAGGAGGACCACAAATTACATGCAGAGAGGTTGAATATGCTATTAGGTGGTCAAAAAGTCGCAAAGCTGAGGACCGGATGAGATTCCTTGTGAAGTATACAAGCTAATAGACGAGCAAATTGTCCTAAAAGTGGTCACAGATTTTTTCAACAAAATATACACTAGTGGTAAATTCCCAAACGACTGGCTAAAATCTGCGTTTATAACAATACCAAAGAAAAGCACGGCTAAAAAGTGCGATGAATACAGAACCATTAGCCTAATGAACCACATGTTGAAGATATTTTTGAAAATTATTCATGGTCGGATATATGCAAAGTGTGAGGATTATCTAAGTGAAAAGCAATTCGGGTTCCGTAATGGCCTCGGTACGAGAGAAGCACTTTTCGTCCTCGCCCAGAGAAGCCGTGACATCTCGGCTGATGTTTATGCCTGCTTCATAGACTTTAAAAAGGCCTTCGACCGGGTTAAACCTGAGATCCTGGTGGATACCCTCAAGTTGA